ACAAAACCTTGTCGAAATATTGTACATTTGCTGTTATGTTAAACTTATATTAAAGTTTTTCTTCATTACCCATTCAACCATCTCCAACCATCATAAATATTTCTAATATAATTTTAAGGACAAACATAAATCTTTTTACCTTCAGAAAATCAAAAACTACGATACAATTTTTATAGGATACCAGAACTCCAGAGTTTGTAAAATGAACAAGAAACTCAAATACACTTTTATTAAACTTAAACATATTGCCAGCTGAGCTAATCTACTTCCTGTACAACTAGTAACTAAAATCTGGAACTAAGAATACACTCTGTTTAAAACAAGAAAAGCTACATATACAACCCGGGCTGGATTTCATTTACGTAACTAAATTAATTACAACAGTACACCTCTTCTTTATTTAAAAAACAAACAAAAAAACTTTCAAATCCGTTGCTCACTTGTTTAAACTATCATTTTAATTTATTGAGAAAAGTAAACTGACATTTAACACAATTTAAAAGTTCAAATTTACTCCAGTAATTTGGAGATCATCTGCTTTATGTTAAGAATTAATTCATCTGGAATGGTAATAGGGACTGTTGATTAGTCTGGATCTCAGTCTGTCCAGTGTCTTTTCTTGGCAGGATGCTTTTTCTCTGTGGGATGTCTTCTTTGTTCTGTTTAGAGTGAAACCATTGGCTGTGGTCAGTGTGAGTGTCTATCACTTTGAAGTGTGTTGAGTTTCTTGTTATGGTATGTTCTTATTGCTCTTCCTGTTATTAAAGTGTGTGACCAGCTTTCCTCCACAGCTCTGGTAGTGAATTACACTATCTTCTAGCTCTATATTAGAGTGCTGTGCTTTTTTGTAGTGGTCTGCATATTTTTTTCATGCATAGCTTGGCTTTGTAGCCAGTTTTGTGAAATGGTGCATCATTCTGTTGGAGGTGTATACTCAGAAGCATCATAATCTATATTTTACAGCAGGGGTGTCGCTGGTGGTGGAATGGGGAATGGCTCGGTAGTTTCCAAATATTTTGAAAAGGTGATGGTTTGCTTTCTAAATGAATATCAGTAATGGTTTTCTTAAGAGTGTGCATGCAATGTTTCACCTCTACATTTGATATTGGCAAGCATGGCATAATTTACTGAGGAAATTCTTCTGAAAATTTGACAGCTGAATGGGGGGGGGGGTTCATTGTCTGCTTTGACCACATGTGAGACTTCAAAGGAAGAGAATATTTTGTCCAACATTAGAATCACAATATTGGCTGTGGTAGATTTGATAGTTCCAATGCCTGGAGTGGTCATCAAGTACAAGAGGGAAAAGTTTCAATGAAACCAACATCAAGCCGTAGTCCTTTAGGGTGTGGCCCGGCATGGGTAGGTGGTTAGGGAGCTTAACTCGCAATCGATGGGTCACAGGTTCAAATCCCCATCCCACCAAACATGCTCGCCCTTTCAGCTGTGGGGGTGTTATAATGTGATGGTCAATCCAACTATTCATTGGTAAAAGAGTAGCCCAAGAGTTGGCGGTGGGTGGTGATGACTAGCTGCCTTCCTTCTAGTCTTACACTACTAAATTATGGACGGCTATCACAGATATCCCTCGTGTAGCTTTGCACGAAATTCAAAAAACAAACAAACCTTTGGGGTGCTCAGACATTTTCAGTGGTTCAGTTTGGTTTCATGGTATAGCAGCTTAGCATGATGCACAGTTGTGAATCAGGCTTTCAAACATCTTATCAATAATAGGAAACCAAACCTTTCATGAAGCAGTTGCTTTGCTCTGACAATATCTAGATGACCTTTGTGGACTAAAGCAAGTGCTCTATCTAGATGACCTTTGTGGATTAAAGCAAGTGCTCTATCTAGATGACCTTTGTGGATTAAAGCAAGTTCTCTAGATGGCATAGAAGTCAGTAGCACAATTCTTGAACCTCGTAATTTGATTTTAGCATTTATGTTGGTACTGAACCCATTGTGAAGAAGGTAGAAGACTCTGAAGGCATAGAGCTCAACATTTGTAAGACCTGTAGGAATCTTGTGGATGGGCATAGAGCTCAACATTTGTAAGACCTGTAGGAATCTTGTGGATGGGCATAGAGCTCAACATTTGTAAGACCTGTAGGAATCTTGTGGATGTTTCGTTATTTACTGGTGTAAATTAGGTTAGCCAACATTTTTAGTGTTGAGTCTCCCCTCATTGAATTTTGGCAAATGTCATAACTTATGGCACAGTGTGATCAGCAATGAAACTTGTGTACTCTTCCACAAGTTTTATTGCCCTGGTGATGTGTAGTTTCTGGAATAGTGTGGGGTGTCTAGACATGTAATAAGCAGGTTTGTCCCTACCAGCTTTGTGAATCACATTAAAATGGTAGGGCTGCAACTGTAATGTCCAATGCTTTCACTTGTGGTGCTTCTGGGTTGCTAAATATGAATTATAGTGGTTTGTGACCATAGTAAAAGCAGATCCATTTACTTGTAGACAGACACAACATTTCTGAAACGATATCTTACCTCCTTTCACAAAAAGTTTTCTCGATTAGCACTGCCCTCTATCGGTGCAAAGTTTTTGTTTGCAGCTAGCTTTGTAACTTCCACTTCTTTCTGCATATCTACATGCAAATGATCACGTCTCATTTACAAGGTCTCCTCCTCACCTTCTCCTTCTGCTCAAGAGGTTTTATCTTTTTTGGGGGGAAATAGGCCTCACTCGAGGCCCTCGTTCCTCTGGGTCGTGCCCACAAGCATCATCTTCAGTGGGCTTTAATCAACTAATGGAGCTTTGTTCAGAATCCCTTGGAGGCTCTTCTTACCCTTCCCTCTCCATTACTGACAAACTTTGCCTGGTGGATAGATTGGACCAATACTACCATGGGGGTTCCTTTCCCTCGTCTGGATTTTCACCTTTTTTACCGATGCTCCCCTTTCTGGTTGGGGAGCATAATTTGATAGTTAGAAAGTTTTGGGATGGTGGACTCTTACAAAATCTACTCTTCATATCAATATCTTGGAACATGCTGTTTGGCAAGCTGTTCTTCACTTCCTGCTGTCTCTTCATGGACAGGTGGTAATAGTGCACTCAGACAATTCAACAGTGGTGTCCTATATCTCCATGCAAAAAAGCACCTGGTCAAGGGATCTTTGTTTTGGACATTGGATCTTTTTTGGGCCCACAGCCACCACATTACTTTGCTAGCATGCATATTCTGGGTGCCATGAATCTGGTCATGGATAACTTAACCAGACACAACAAGATTCTACTGACAGAGTAGACTTTTAATCCCGTCATTTTTTGGTAGTTTTGTGCTCATTGGGGTATCCCTGATTTGGATGTATTTGCATCTCCTCTCAACACAAAACTTCCCTTTTTTGGGGTCACCTGTTCCTCATCTGCAGGTGGATGTGGTGAATATGCTCTCAGCCAGAATTTGGACCATTTGTTACCTATATGCTTATCATCCTATTTGGCTTCTTCCTCATGTCATTTCGATACTTTGGATTACTCCTTGTCATGTTCTGTTGGAGGCCCCATAGTGGGCAGATCAGATGTGGTTTTCACTTCTGTGACAGCTATTGATGTCATCATCAGTTCCTTTCCCTTTATCTCCCACATTCCTTTGTTAGCCTCACTCCAGTGTATGTCATCCTTCCCTGCCTACACTCCATGTTCATGTGTGGCTTTTGTCCAGTTCCTCACCAGATGGTCTGGACTTTACAAGCATGTTGTCTCCTTGATTTCTCATTCTGTTTATCAGCATAAATGGACTACATACTGCTTATGGTCTCTTCACTAGGGTTACTATCATTCTCAACCTACCATTCCTCATATGGCTTTATGAGACTTCTCAGTTCCTCTGTTGCGCGTTATGGGTGCATTGTCTTCCACTTTTCGATTTACCGAAAACGTGTCTGTGTGCCAATCTCCTGTCCTATCTATGATATTTCATTCATTCTCCATTACTCATCCTCCCCACCCTGCTTCCCTCCCTGTTTGGAACCTCAGTATTGTTCTTTATGCTCTTACTCATCCTCACCTTTATTGTTTTGCTCCTTATATTACCTTTCATTTAAGTCCTTGTTCTTATTGTTATTGGCATGTGGTTGCCGTAGTTCCAATGTTTTTATATATGTTTGCCCTATATTATTCCTTTATTCCTATGTTCTCCTCTTCCCGACCTTTTCTTTCAACCTAAGACCTCGACTGTCTGGGAGGGTAATTCCTCTTTCACTCCTTTTTCCCTCCCCTCCATCTACCATCTTTATGACCGTTCAGATCCTGATCACCTCCTATGCCTTGCCAGGATCCTCCGATGGTTTATGACACACACTTCTCCCGTCCTTGTTTACAACATCCATTTGTTTATTCATTGGAATCCTGCTATTTATGTGATCTTTCTCCCATTACCTTTACGGGTTGGATTTGCCTGGTATATCCTTCTCTTTCTTCAGATGATTGTCACCTGACCATGTCCCTGGCTGCCCATTTCCATCTACTCTTGGAGGAAATCATCAGCGTGGGTATGTGGACTACCCTGTATACCTTTACATCTCTCTACCTACATCACGTGGCTGTTTTATGCTCTGTGGGTTTCT